ATTGAGATGCTTGGACCACTTTCCCTTGTACTTTATCTTTTTCCAAAAATCCCCACTGTTCACAGTTTTGTCTCAGGGTAAATATTCTCCATGGAGCTTGTGAAAAAGTTTAATAATTGGGTTGGGAGTAATTTAGACTGGATATTTATTGGAGGTGGGAATTAAGGGAGATGTCCTTAAAGTAGAATTATGTTTGAGAGGATGGTGAGGGGATAGTCTGAACTGGGAAGGACAGGGTAGGTTTCAGGCTTGGTTTTACAATCCTGAACCTATTTTCTGTTCAGTTTAACACACTGGTTTTTAATCTTTTTTTTTTTTGTGTTGGCTCAATTTTGTCCAGAAAAATAAACCTCTCTTTTATAGTGTCTGTCTTAAGAGACAACCTATCATCTTTAACTGAATTAATTTTTAGAATTATTTTCATCTCTTGGGGTCAGATGTTGTAAAACAAAAATTATCAGTGGATCTAAAAAGAATAGAAGCCCAAGATTACTAAAATAATAATAAAAAGGCCCCAAATAAAACTATATCTCTTCCACTTTGCTACTTAATATGGTTTAGGACTTGAAGGACCTAAATGCAATACCATTCTGACAGTATACTTTTTAAAAAAAGGGGGGGAAACCCCCCATCTTAGCAAAGTAAGCATGTGAATTAAAGGAATGTCACACTACAAGGGGACTGGGTTTACTGACAACCTAAAATACTATAAAACTCAGGTCAAAGTTTTTATAGAGAATTTCTCCATTGGGATATTTAGGAATTTATATCTGACCTGTAGAACTTGCTCTGTAAGATGCAATCTTCAGCAAGCTCTGGTGGCCTAGTGGCAAGAAGGTGTACTGCAATCCCAGAAGTGCACAGTTCAAATCCACCAGATGCTCTGCTGGAGGAGGAACAATCTCCTCCTGTACCAGTCAGATCTGATTTGACAGTACACACACACACAAATAATAAAGATGCAATTTTCACTATGATGTACAGTTAAATTATAAACCTGGAAGTTTTCCTAGTTTACTTTTGAAGCTGTTTTCCCTTTTTTGAAATGGTAGGACAAATTGAGGTATATTAAGAGAAAAGGGGGGGGGGACCCACAACAATGTTTAAAAAAGCAGTTGGTCAGTATCACCTGGCAGAGAGCTCAGTCATCAGTAATGATTAAAATTTCTGAGGCTTCATTAGGGACAAAAGGCAACAGGTTTTCTCTTTTGGACAAGACGACTTCTACCAGAAGGAAAATGTCTAGAGAAAGCTTTAAAAATAAATTCAGGGTACTAGAAAGGGTAGTGTAATCGTATAGTTCAGCTGCAGGATCACACCCAAGATCTATTACTGGCAGATGCTTGCTGTATCATGTTTTTCCACTATTTTTGCTTATGGCCTGCCTGCCAATGGCCCACCTATTTAATCCTTCATTACTATCCCTTATTACTGAAAGTTAAATAAATACTTGACTTCTCTCAATGGCAGTCCTTGCTCATTCCACCATTCTAGAGATTATAACAATAGAGTTATATTCGTAATTAGGGGATATTTTTTATTTATACATACTTCAATAAGCAAAAGTGATATTTTGATTGAAGGGTAATCAGTATAAAGATTGCTACAATTTAAGACAGTTGGAATAACTCCATCTTAAGTTGTCTCTTAAGTTAATTCTTTTAAAATATTTTTCATTATTGTCTTTTTAGTATCTGTATAAATCTGATCTTTGAACATCTGTGCATCAATATCTGAGGATGATAACATCAAATTATTCACTGTAACATTGTAGTCTTGCGGTTTTTTTCTTCTTCGATGTTAGATGGATCTTGGCTGAAAACAGGGAATACCAGAGGAATGTCTATCTGTGTTTCATTGACTATGCAAAGGCATTTGACTGTGTAGATCGTAACAAACTATGGCTGACTCTGAGAAGAATGGGAATCCCAGAACACTTGATCGTTCTAATGCAAAACTTATACTTGGACCAGGAGGCAGTCGTCAGAACAGAGCAAGTGAACACTGCATGGTTCAAAATTGGGAAGGGCGTACGCCAGGGATGCATCCTATCTCCATACCTTTTCAACCTGTATGCAGAACAGATTATCCGGGAGGCTGGGCTCTGTGAGGAGAAATGTGGGGTCAGGATTGGTGGACGATTTGTCAACAACCTGCGTTATGCGGATGACACAACCCTGCTTGCTGAAACTGAAGAGGACCTGAAGCACCTGCTGCAGAGTGTCAAGGACTGCAGCCTACAATATGGATTGAGGCTCAATGTCAAGAAGACAAAGATTCTCACCACTGGACCAATTGGCAGCCTCAGGATGGATGGTGAAGAGATTGAGATTGTACACAGCTTTAGTTTGCTTGGCTCCATAGTCAACAGTCTTGGCACCAGCAGCCAGGAAATTAAAAGGCGCATTTCCATGGGAAAGTCTGCTGTTAGGGACCTCTCCAAAGTACTGAAGAGCAATGGTGTCTCTCTGGAGACTAAGGTGTGTCTGATACAGGCCATGGTCTTCGCAATCACTTGTCATGCATCAGAGAGTTGGACAATGACCAAGGAGGATAGAAGGAGAATTGATGCCTTTGAGCTGTGGTGCTGGAGAAGAGTATTGAGAATACCATGGACTGCTAGGAAAACAAACAGATTTGTCCTGGAAAGGGTTAAACCGGGCGACTCCTTGCAGGCTAGGATTCTGAGGCTCTGTCTAACATACTTTGGACATGTTGTGAGGAGAGGCCGGTCCTTGGAGAGGGACATCATGCTTGGGAGGGTGGAGGGACAGCGCAGGAGAGGAAGGCCCTCTATGAGGTGGATTGATTCAGTGACTGGGATAATTGGGATGGGGGTGTCAGAGACAGTGCGATTGGCATAGGACAGAGCAGTCTAGGGCTGTTGTACATAGGGTCGCTATGAGTCGCAGGCGACTCGACGGCACATAACAACAACACTGTAGTACATATTAACGATAAGATGTACCCAAAAAAATTAAGTGTGGTTCCTCTTAAGACTACTTGCATTTAATAACTAGGCATACAGGAAACAACAGGCATATTGAAAGTGTGTTATAAATTCATTTAAGGAACAAAGTGTTGCCGTTAATGGGCAATGGGAAATAATATCCAAAGCAAAGAAATGATAGGTGTATTATTCCTTCCCCCAATGATGCTAACAATTCTTTTTACAGTCTTTGTTTCATGTGTAGGAAATGAGCTGTCTGTCTTGTGTGAGAAATACATACATCTTCCTGCAGCACTAACCTTATAAAAGGCCTGACCACTTTCCTGGGAAGTAATAAAGAGCGTATAGGGTAAAGATTACTTGGTATACACTGAAACCAGAAAAAAAGGCAGGGATATATTTTTTCAAGGGAATAACCCCTAATAGGTATTGAATGCCACGGTCCTTCAGTGATAGGTATAAATCAGATTTCGAAGATGGTCTCTCAGGAGGTGGTCCATGCTTCTCTCCCCCTGGATAATCTCCTCTGCCTCTCTTGTTGGTAGACTGCAGCAGAAAACACAGAACAGGAAGGCAGATATGGATGCCCATAACAAAAAGGGCAAGTAAAGCCCTCTGAAGCCTTAACAAGAAATTTCCTGAGGCAGTAAACGATGCTGCTATTTTCCCTGTTTCCTCCCTTTCTTGCTAACCCTTCCAAAGTAAGGTTTGATACATCAATTTTGATAAAGGCTTTGCTATTGTGAAACTATGAAACATTTCAGTGGTTTAAGGCAAAATGTTTAAACTGTTCTGGAAAATCTGGAACACATGACTACTATGAGATTATGATCAGGATGGCAGAACCTTATACCTCTGGGGAGGTAGTGTTCAACTTTTTAAAAAAAAATATTAAAACTGGAGTTTAGAAATTAAAAAAATAGTGAACTCATATGTACCTACTAACCAACTTTAACAAATAATAACTCATGACCAAGTTTTCATTTCTCCCAATGCCCACCCTCACTAGATTAAAACTAAAGCAACACTCAGATAGCATTTAACTTCCCACCCATACACATTTCATTATGTATCACCAGAAGTTAAAATCCATTTTAAAAATCATAACTACAGTATCACACATAAGAAAAGTGAATCCTTTAAAATGCCCTTCAGTTACTCAATTTTTCTGTATGTCTCAAATGTTTTTTAAATTCAATCAGGATCCATTTGGGGCCTATATTTGTAGATGGCTTACATCCTGTGGGACACAGCTATACTCTGGCATAAATGAGGTCTCCAAGCTGGAGTGTTGGTCCAGTGGCAACTAGTTTATAGATCTCTTAAGTCTTTTAAAATCTGTCTAATTTCTATTAGAAATGTTTCTCCAGTACTTTGTAGGGCTCAAACTCTCACCTCTTGGTGACAAAAATAAAGGCCATTTTGGAATATGGGAACAAAATACATATTTTGTGTGGAGGCGCTGTCTCTTTTGTTTCTATGAGTTTCTTTGGTGTTACTAGGAGCTCAGAATGGAAAAGGTCCCTAAAGTCCAAGGCATGAAATTTCATTTAAAAGATGAAATGCTTCTTTCAGTAGAACTCCTTATAAACTTCTCTATCCATTCTCATGAATCTGATCTCTTGTTGCATAGATCAAAATCAGACTTATTAATTTACAAAACATTATTCTAGCTATCTAGAGAATTAAAGGTAGTTTTTTCCTGATTCAAGCAAAATCTCCAGTCAAATTGATACATTCCATTGAAAGTACTTTGTTGTGAGACTTAGGAGTGCCACTTATTTCTACACTTTTATTTCATCCTTATAAAGATCTCTTAGTTAATGACTTTTGCTACAATGTGACCTAATTTTTAAACCCCAAGTCAAGGAAACTAATCTGATGCTTAGAATCTGTGAACTGAAACAGTTTTTGAAAATTGTAAACATAAGGGTTCTAGAAACTATGTCATTCTCTACCAGTTACACTTTACCATCCTAATAAAAGGCCCCAACAGTGCGTAAGCCTAACTGTAAATTTTTCATGCATAGACAGGTTGGCCAGGACTCACCTAAAGGAATGGCAGCCGGGAACCAGGGAGAGTCACTAGTGTAGTTCTGCTTTCCCTCTGACCTAAAGGACAGAACAGAAGGTTAAAAATAATAATCTGGAGTTCTTCAGCAGTTTTAATTTGAGTCAGGGTAACTGGATACTTTCTAATCTGAAGGCCAGTCTGAAAGGAGAGAAAAAAAGGGAAGTTTAAGAGGTGATTTTAAGGTGTCAAACTGGAGAAAATGCCCTTTGGGAACAATTCCCAACTAATTTTCACCTTGAAAATGATATTTCAGTAAATGTCTAATAGTTGAAGCTCCATTCCTTTGGGGTAAACTTACCTGAATTGCTGGGGGTGAGGACTTGTGTGTAACCGGAATTTCTCTCATTTACAGATGATCTTAAGGGGAAAATTCCCTGTCCAGAAGAGGCAGATGAAGGTCTAAGAAAGGAAAAGAACATCAGTGGAGAAAAAGGGGGGGAGGGGAAGAAAGATATCTTTTAAAGAGAAAATTCTGTAATTTTAGTCCAGAGAGGAAAACACCACCTGCTTATAACTAGGAATAAAATAATTTAGTTATAGGTGGTGGTGGTTGTGTGCCATCAAGTTGGAACAGACCCGTAACTGACCTTCCAGCTGGTTTTCAGAGGCAGTTAATCTCCTGACAGGAAACTGCCCATTTCTCTCCCACAAGATTATGTTAGACACTGCTAGCAAACTTTTGTTTAAAAGGCAGAATACAAACTTTGGAAAAGTAACCCCAGGGCTGCTAGCAGAGTAATACGAACAGACCTCGAATGAAAGGAAGACTGCTATTACTCACCTGTAAGATAGGCTGTAAGTGGAAGCTGGTGAAGGGGTTTCTGTAAAACACAAAAATAAGCCTATGAAATAATCCATGGACTGAAAGAGATTCACATATACTGGGACTGTGGCAAAGGGAATGAAGGACAAGACTGTAGTATTTATGTCAAAAGTCTCAAGAATTACTTAGCGGTCACATCAAATTGGCTAACTCAGAAGCATGAGAATCCCAGACAGTTGACTGTGCTTATGCAAAACCTATACTTGGACCAGGAAGCAGTTGTTAGGGCAGAGCAAGGAAATGCTGCATGGTTCAAAATTGGGAAGAGTGTATGGCAGGGTTGTGTCCTATCACCATTCCTTTTCAATTTATATGCAGAACAGATCTTTTGGGAGGTTGGGCTCTATCAGGAGGAGTATATTATCAAGACTCAACAACTTGCATTATGCAGATAACACAACCCTGCTTGCTGAAACTGAGGAGGACCTGATGTACTTGCTGCAGAAGGTCAAGGGCTGCAGCCTCCAATATGGATTGAAGCTCAGCATCAATAAAACAAAGATTCTCACCATTGGGCCAATTTGCAGCATCATGATAAGATGGTGAAGAGATTGAGATTGTTAACAGCTTTAGTTTGCTTGGCTCCACAATCAACACTCTTTGTACCAGCAGCCAGGAAATCAAAAGACAAATTGCATTGGGAAAGTCTGCTGCCAGGGACCTCTCCAGAGTACTGAAGAGCAAAGATGTCAGTCTGGAGACTAAGGTGCATTTAATTGAGGTCACAGTCTTCACAATTACTTCCTATGTGTTAGAAAGCTGGACAATGACTATGGATGATAGAAGGAAGCTTGATGCCTTTGAGCTTTGGTGCTGGAGAAGAGTACTGAGTAGAACATGTACTGCCAGGAGAACAAATAGGTTTGTTCTAGAGAGGATGAAACCAGGCTGCTCCTTGGAGGCAAGGATTCTGAAGCTTCATCTGACTTGCTTTGAGCATGTTGCAAGGAGGCACCAGTCCTTGGAGAGGAACATCATGCTTGGAAGGGTGGAGGGCAGCACAAGAGTGGAAGACCCTTGATGAGATGGATTGATTCAGTGACTGGGGTGATGGGGGTTGGTGTGTCAGAGATAATAAGGTTGGCACAGGATAGAGCAGGGTTTAGGGTTTTTGTACATAGGGTCACTATGAGTCATAACTGGACAGCACATCATAATTTTATAGCAGTGTTCTCTTTCTTTCATGAACATGTGGACCATGATCCATCACTGCCTTGATTTACACTACTCTATCAGTACCTTGATTTCCTCTCTGAGATGGAGATTACCAGGATGAATGGCTAAATAAAACAGGTTTTTTAAATTGGTTAGGAGTGCGAGCATTAAAAAGAATATAGAAGGACCTCTCAGAATTATTTCATAAAAGCAAAATCTGTTAGACTAAACTTTTATGGCACTCTCTGTAAACTAAGGGTTTATGGGATTCTAACCCAAACTAAATCAAACCCATTGCTATCAAGCTGATTTAAAATCATATCAATGACATAAAATGTGGCTCAGAGTTTTTGGGGTTTTGTTGGGGATTTTTTTACACATCACTGAACTTTATTAAGATGGGAATGACTACTAATTGAATGGAAGTTCATTGCCTATAACAAAACCACGAGGTTCACATGAATTTACACAAATTATGGATGGCATATTTAAAACTAAGAAAATATCCAGATGCCCAGGTGATGAATAGTGGGCTGAATCAGCCTGCACATTTATTTCAAGCCATTAAAGAGTATGTGGGCCACACAGTGGTCCCTTGCATGCAAGAAGCCAAAGAGCTCCGATGTGCAGCTCTGGTCACTCCATGGCCTTCACACATTTTACCAGCTGCTCACATTGTTTTCTCACAGTTGTTAGGAATCCACTAGTTATTCTTCCTCTTCTTCCAACTCCTTAGGATCTCCGGGTCCAGTCAGCATCTTTTGCACATCCTCCAGTCTCATATCTGGCTCAGTTTTAAATGCAAAAACAGCAGCAACAGAGACAGCAACTCCAGGATCAAGAAGCTGGTCCAGAATTTTTAAGGCTGTAATCTTTATGGACACAAAACTGCCATGTTTTTCACAGAGTGGCTGGTATGTTTGAACTGCTGACCTTTGATTAGCAGTTGAGTACTTCACCACTGTGCCATCAGTGCACTTTTGTAGGATTCTAGAGAATGTTTAACACACACACACACACACATACACACACACAATCTGAATGTCAGTAAGAACAGCAATCTTTGTTTTGTTTTGACACACCATATCTCATTTCTTCTGCCTTGAAAATTAGCAGTCCACAATAAAAAAACTAAAACCAAATCTTGCAGTTATCAGGGGGGAAGGAACAATGCTGGAGAGATCCTATAAGACCTCATTTTCAGGGAAAAGTCATTATTTTAACAGTTTAGTGGTTCCTTGGAAGATCTCACTAAGCTGTCCTGAGTTATTGCTCAGAACTCATAAAATTAAAAAAGTTTTTTTCACTAGGAATATTTATTAAAAACAATGAGAAGTAAATGTTTTGGTTGCCAGAAGAGAGGAATATCAGTTGGAAGACAACTGTCTAAGCAAAAGTCTGAGTGGAAACCCTGGCGTGGGGAAGCTGCACATGGGCCTTTGTAAAGTTCTGACATTTTGGGACTCTTGAAGGCACATGCTTATCGCACTCAGTGCAGGTTATCCTTGAAGCTTTATTATAAAAGCAGGAAGGAAAGGTTAAGACAAAGTTGTCAGTTGCCTACCTGAATGCTGTGGACACACCCCAAAACACAGAGTCCTTGGCAAAGACTAGATTGACTAGTTCTAAGTATCTAAGAAAATCTCTGTCTAATCATTAGCTAATCACTAACAGCAGCCAGGAAATCAGGAGACGAATTGCATTGGGAAAGTCAGCTGTGAGGCACTTCACAAGAGTACTGAAGTGCAACGACGTCAGGTTGGAGACTAAGGTGCACCTGATCCAGGCTATAGTCTTTGCAGTTATGTGCTATGCATTGGAGAGTTGGACAGTGAATAGGGATGATAGAAAGAGAATTGATGCCTTTGAGTTGTGGTGCTGGAGAAGAGTGTTGAATGTACCATGGACTGCTAGGAGAACAAACAGGTTTGTTCTGGAAAGGGTGAAGCCAGAATGTTCTCTGGAGTCAAGGATTCTGAAGCTTCGTCTGACATATGCTGGGCATGTTGCAAGGAGGGACTGGTCCTTGGAGAGGGACATCATGTTTGGGAGAGTGGAGGGGTGGCGCAGGAGGGGAAGACCTTTGATGAGATGGATCGATTCTGTGAGTGGAGTGGTGGGAATGAATGTGTCTGAGACAGCGAGGTTGGCACAGGATAGAACGGCGTTTAGGGCTCTTGTACATAGGGCCACTATGAGTCACAAATGACTCGATGGCACATAACAACAACAACATGCTAACTGAACAGAGACTTCAATAGCCACACATATTAAAAATAACTTTTAAGGGAGCTCTGGTAGCCTAGTAGCAAGACGCTGCACTGCAATCCTAGAGGTATGCAGTTCAAATCCACCAGATGCTCTGCTGGAGAAGGAGGGGCAATCTCCTCCTGTACCAGTCAGATCTGATTTTACGGTACATGTAAAAAATAATACAATAAAGATAAAAAAATAAATCACTAACCAAAGAATAAGAAATGGCAACAACAAACCTAAGGATATAGTTTCCATGCTATGTCACTTAAAATATCCAGTATTTTTAGTAACTAAAAATTATAAGACATTTTAAAAACCAAGAAACTGTGGCCCATACAAAGGAAGAAGCAAAACAATAAAAACAACCAATAGAAGTGTCCCTGAGAAAGCGTAGGCATTAAACTTTAAACACAAAAACTTTAAGTTAGTTATTTTAAAGGAAACCGTATTTGAAGCACTCAAAGAAGATACGAGAATGATGTCTCACCAGAGAAGATCAATAAAGTGATATCATACAGGAAATAAATAGACATTCCAGGGAAATTCACTAGAGAACTTATTGCCAGATTTGAGCAGGTAGAAGAAAGAATTTGCAAATTTGGAGATAGGCAAATTGAGATGATCTAATTTGACAAAGTTCTGGTGGCTTAGTAGTAAGGAGTTGCACTGCCAGCCCAAATGCATGTGGTTCAAATCCACCAGTAGCTCTAAGGGGAGAAAAATGAGCAGTCTTCTCCGATAGCATTAACTGCCTCTAAAAATGCACTGGAGGGCCAGCTATGGGCTAATTCTGACTTGATGGTACACAGTAACAAGAAATTTGAGAAAAGGGGAGAAAGAATGATGAAAAATTCACAGAACTTTGGAGACCTTGATAGGGCGCTACCAAGCATTCCAATATACATTTAAGAAGGGATAAATGCACTTAGGAGAGGAGAGGGGGAAAAGAAGAAAGAATATTGAAAGAATGACTGAAAACTTTCCAAATTGGAGGAAAAACATTTATCTGATTTTCTAGGAAGATAAAAAATTTTAAGAGGTTTTTTTTTGGTTTTTTTTTTGTTTTGTTTGTTTTTTTTTTTTTTTTTTTTTTTTTTTTTTTTTTTTTTGTTTTGTTTTTTGGTGTGAGTGTACCATCAAATCAGATCTGACTGGTACAGGAGGAGATTGTCCCTCCTTCCCCGGCAGAGCATCTGGTGGATTTGAACCGTGCACCTCTGGGATATTTTAAGAGTTTTAAATCCACATGTTTGTTGTTGTAATGTGCTGTTCAGTCACCTGATGAAGATGCATCATAATCAAACTTTCAAAAGACACAAAGAAGTCACTCATCAAATACATAGAATCCTCAATAACCGATTTCTTACGAGAAACCAGGGCAGCCAGAACATAGTGGGGTAACATAATTAAAGTGCTGAAAGATTGTCAACCAAGAACTCTATACTAAACAATCTTTCAAAAATGGAGAAACCAAGGCATTCTCAGAGACAAAATTAGAATTTGTTACTAGCCAATCTTCCTTAAAACACTTACAGAGTACTTTAGGCTTAAGTGAAAGGAAATGAGACAGTAACACAAATATACATAAAAAATAGAACTGACTAAGGATAATGGAAGAATAATTGATGTCTTGGAGTTGTAATGCTTGGAAGGGTCTTGAACATACCATGGACCACCAAGAGAGCAAACAGGTCTGTCCTGGAGAGGGTGAAACCAGATTACTCCTTGAAAGTAAGGATTTTGAAGCTTCATATTACAATACTTTGGCCATGTTGCCAGGAGGGACCAATCCTTTGAGAAGGACATCATGCTTGGAAGGGTGGAGGGACAGTACAGGAGAGGGAGAAGATCCTGGTTGAGACAGATTGAGACAGTAACTGGTGTAATAGGGGTAGTAGGTGTGTGGGAAATGTGAGATTAGCTCAAGATAGGGCAGGGTTCAGAGTTATTATGCATAAGATCACTGTGAGTCACGGGCAACTCGATTTCAGTAACAACAACAACTAATGGGGGAGCACTGGTGGCCTAGTGGCAAGAACCTCGAAGGCAGGCTGTTTGAATCCACCAGCTGCTCTTTGGGAGAAGGATGAGCAAGCTCCTCCCATGTGATTAACTACCCATGAAAACCTGCTGGAGGGTTAGCTATGGATCAGTTCCAACTTGAAGGCACATGACACCAACAGCTAAGGAAGGTGCTCTCACAGCCTAGTGGTAAGGAGCTGTGCTGCCAAACCAAAGGTGTATAGTTTGAATCTACCAGCTGCTCACGGAGAACCAAGATTGGCGAGAATGAGACTCCTAGAACACTTAACTGTTCTCATGTAAAACCTATATCTAGAACAAGAGGTTGTTGTCCGAACAGAACAAGACAACACTGCATAGATTAAATCAAGAAAGATGTGTGTCAGGGCTGTAGACTTTTTCCATACCAATTCAATCTGTATGCTGAGCAAATCATTAGAGAAGATGGACTTTATGAAGAAGAATGTGGTATTAAGGATTGGAGGAAGAATCATCAACAACCGTGATATGCAGATGAAAATCTTGCTTACTGAAAGTAAGTGAGGAGGACTTGAAATGCTTGCTGCAGAAGACCAAGGACTACAGCCTTCAATACGGATTGCATCTCAACATCACAGAAACAAAAAATCCTCACCAATAGGCAACATCGTGATATAAAAGATTGAAGTTGTCAGTGGTTTAATCTTGCTTGGATAGACAATCAACTCCCCTAGTACCAGCAGTCAAGAGTGCTAAGGAGTAATAATGTCAGTTTGAAGACTAAGGTCTAAACCATGCTCTCAGTTGCCTGCTATGAATCCGAAATTTGGACAATGAATAAGATGACAGAAGAAGAACTGAAGCCTTTGATGCTTAAGAAAAGTACTGAGTATCCCATGGATTGCCAAGAGAACAAACAGGTGTGTCCTGGAGAAAGTGAAACCAGGGTGCTTCTTGGAGGCAGAGATGGTGAAACTTGGACTCACGTAAGTGTGTTGTTCAGAGAAGCCAGTCCTTGGAGAAGGTCAACAAGCTTGGAAAGGTGGAGGGTCAGCATAGGAGAGGAAGACCCACAAGAGAATGGATTGACATGGTGTCTGGAACAATGGGCTCAAGTGTGTCAGAGCTGGTGAGGATGGAAGCTATAGAATACGGCAAAGTTCAGATCCTTTGTTCATAAGGTCACTGTGAGTCACAGTCAACTTGATAGCACATAACAACAACAAAATCAACAACCAATTTTAAAATGGTAGCCCAGAAAGCAATCTGAAAATTACAACTTTGCTTCTCAGGAAAAAAAAAAGATGAAACCTTTTTATAAATATTCTTTGGGGATTAATTATTTCCACTGAAAATAGAAATAACAGCAAGAGTTTAGTGAGAAAGAGACAAGGAATTAATTACATAGATCCCAGACATATCTTCATTGCCATATTTTTTCATTAATACACGGTGAACACTCAAATAGTCTTCAGGCTAAAAGGATTGGCATCCTACTTAACCTTTCTTTTAGACCCTAACTTTTACTGCCATCTTGTGGCAATATTTAAAATAAAATCAGTTATTCAAAATTTCTTCATCATCTCCTGACCAAAGGATTTTAATGATTTCCTCAGTGATTACATTTTTATTTTTCCCTTATCAATTTGAGAACACAAATATCACTATTTAAAAATATATAATAAAAAAAATCTCACTGGGAAGAATAAAGTTAAATAGCCCAGAAATGAGAAATAGCACAGAAAAGGAAAAATTATGTTTAAAATCTGCTGGTATTTGTACAGATTTGTGTTGGCTTCTGAAACCTTTTTCTCTCTCACCAGTATAAGAGTCTCTGGGAGTGCTCCTTCCCTGCAGGCCTCTGCCACCCTGCTAGACCAAGGGAAAAAAAAACCCAATTAATAAATGTACCTCAGCTTCTTGGCTCCCTCCTATTTCTCTAGATGCATTTTTTAATTCTTTTTTTATTATTAATTTAAATGAAAATTTACAGATACTTTGGATTTCCATTCATTCATTGTTGCACTTTTCTCC